CTGTTTCCCTTTCTTTCTCTCTCTTTCTGCTTCTCCCTTTGGCTCACATCCACCCCCTTCACTTCTTGTCCTCCATCCCTCTTCTCCCTTCGCAGCCCTTTTCATCTCGCCACATCCTTCTTCTCCTTTTGTCCCCCTTCCTCGCCCTTTGTGACTCTATTCCCCCTGTTTTCTCACTCTTCCCCCACCCTTTCTTTCTGAGTCTATATCACCCTTTTCCTCCTCTCATTGCATCACCCTTCCTTCCTCTCTCTTCCACATCCTTTCCTTCTCACCCTTCGGTACATTTTCCATCATTTCCCATCATCCATTTCCCTCTTTTTCTCTCCTTCAATCCTCATCTTATCTCCCTCAATTCTCCTCCTTTTCTCTCCCTCAATTCTCCTCTTTTTCTCTCCCTCAATTCTCCTCTTTTTCTCTCCCTCAATTCTCCTCTCTTTCTCTCCTTCAATCCTCATAATCTCTCCCTCAATTCTCCTCCTTTTCTCTCCCTCAATTCTCCTCTTTTTCTCTCCCTCAATTCTCCTCTCTTTCTCTCCTTCAATCCTCATCTTCTCTCCCTCAATTCTCTTTTTTTTCTCTCCCCTAATTCTCCTCTTTTTCTCTCCCTCAATTCTCCTCTTTTTCTCTCCCTCAATTCTCCTCCTATTCTCTCCCTCAATTCTCTTCTTTTTCTCTCCCTCCATTCTCTTCTTCTCACATTACCTCGTCCTTCCCTCCACCCCCTTTCCTCCTCCCTCTCCCTCCCTTCCCTCCTCACCAGCCCTCCACTCCCCAGCTGACCACACCCTCCTCACACTACTTTTACTGAATCAGGATACCCAAGGAAATTATAAGTTCCTTGAGAGACTGAAGGAGCAGGTTCTTCAGTTTTATGTATTTCTTTCATCACTTATTTATCCATTTCCATTCTATATATCTGTCTGATTGTCTTTTTTTCTGTATATCTATGCATACCTATCTATCTATCTATCTATCTATCTATCTTACTATTTATCTTTCTCCATGTATGTATATATGTATATGTATATATATATATATATATATATATATATATATATATATATATATATATATATATATATATATATATATATATATATATATATATATATTTATATATATATGTATATATGTATGTATGTATGTATGTATGTATATATATATATGAATATGCATATATATACATACATATATATGTGTATATATATGTGTAGGTGTGTGAGTGTGTGTGTATGCGTGTGTGTGTATATGTGTGTGTGTGTGTGGTGTGTGTGTGTGTGCGTGTGTGTGTGTTGTGTGTGTGTGTGTGTGTGTGTGTGTGTGTGTGTGTGTGTGAATGTGTGTATGCGTGTGCGTATGCATGTGTGTGTATTTATGTGTACGCATGTACATAAATCTATACATACCTACGTGTGCAAATATCTCAAATTAATCTACGTCAGATACATATATAAATACATATATTCATGATTCTCATAAATGTATCCAGATGAGTTATCTACACAGATGTCCAAATATATGGTTCCCATCGTTCCTACCTCCCCCCCCCCTTCAAATAGATATACAAATAGTCAAATAAATGGATATAAAAAGACACCTAATAATAGTAATACACACCCATTATAAAAAAAAAAACTTGTACCTACCCAAAACACAACATAAAAGGACCCGTATTTTTTGTGAATGAGAGTGAGTGGCATAAACACCACTTCATGAATGGTTGTACGAAACAAAAAGAAATGAATGAACAAGAAAAATCAATATATTCAAACAGCTGTTCAGACAGGTGTTCGTAGCCCGCTTGATTGTCGACAGGTAATTTGATAAGCCAGAGAATCGCTGTCAGATCAGAATTGTGAAGTTAATGGTAGAAATGATGAAACTTATCTGGATTAGGATCATTAATAATGATAATGATAATAGTACTTAAATTATTACTATTATTATCATTATCATGATTTTATTATTATTATTATCATTATTATTATCATTATCATTATTTTTCATGATTATCATTATTATTATTGTTATCATCTTTATCATTATTGTGATTGTTATTATCATTAGTGTTAGTATCATCATTTATTGTTATTATTATCATGATCATTATGATTTTCATTATCATTTTTCATCATAAACATTATCATCATTCNCAGCGGGACACAGCCCACGCCCGCGACAGGACCCAACCGCGCACCAGCACCCCGCCCTGCCCGGCGGGCGCAGCCTCTTCGTGGACGCCATCATCCCGTCGCCCGAGAAGAGCTGCGGCTCCAGCGTGTACTCGCCGGTGTTCTCGCCGCGGGACTCGGGCTACCCGCGCTTCGTCACGCCCGAGCTGGCCCTGCCCGAGCTGTCCGTGCCCGAGCGCGCCCCGCCGCCCGTGACGGGCCTGCCCGCGCCCCCGCACTGCCACTACTCGCACAGCCACAGCCTCGCCAACAACCCGCGCAGCCTGGAGCTCGACGAGCGGAAGCGCACCAAGGAGTCCCGCAAGGTAGGCGCATGCGCAGGGGCGCAGGGGACGGCGTGGAGATGCCTTCTTTCCTAACTTCTGCTTGCTGTATCTTTGGGATTCATTTACCCTTTAGGTGTTTTTATCTGCAAACGCCAAATTTTCATGGCAAAGGAAAAGGGCTGATATATTGGAGATTATCGCTAAGAGTGTCTCTATACGCCCTCTGTAAGAAGAAATAGGAAAAAAAAAGAATAGTATCATACACAGGAAAATTATTACACGAAAGGTCGAAAAATAGAATATTTACTTTTTGTTGAGGATCCCCTAAAAAGGTTTGTTTTCTCTGATTCCTTCGGCGGTGTAGATTAGGTTCTTTTAGAGGGGTGACTTAGGATTTCTGTAAACAATCTGTAAAAGCATTTTATATATACTGTGGTGTATATGTGTGAGTATATATGCGCATACACACGGATGTATAGCCAAACACACACATATGTACATAGAGACACACACGCGTACACATACATACGCTTATGTGTACTCACGCGTACACGTACACGAACACGTACACTTGCAATCACACATGCACGACAGCACACACATACACAACACATACATACACATACACACATACACATACACACACATAACATACACATACACCATACACATACACAAGCACATTTACACACGACAACACACATACACACGCACACACATACACACGGCACACACACATACACATAGCACACGGCACACACATACACACGCACGCACCATACGCACACGCATGACACATACACACGCACACACACACACACATACACACGCACACAACACACATAACACACACACACAGCACACACACAGCATATACACGCACGCACACACATACTCAGCAACACATACACAGCACACACATACAGCACACATACACACATTCATAGCACACACAATACAGCATACATACGCACACCAATACATACGGACACACACATACATACACACACAACACACCACATACAATACACCACATACTACACACACACACATACACACATACACATACACACACACATACATACATAGCACACACATACATACACACACACATACACACACACACACACACGCACCACTCTAACACACACACACACACGCACACACATACACACACACCACGCACAACACATACACGAACACACACACACACACACACACACACACACACACACACACACACACACACACACACACACACACACAACCAACACACTACACACACACGCACACATTTGTAGGAGGATTTTCTTTAAGTGCACATGGGGATCTCTCCACAGAAGACGATTTCCCACAAAGCAGGAAGAAGAAGAAAAAAAAATCCGATCTTGAGCACACCTGCCAGGACGGGGTGGGGTGGGGGTGGGGGGGGGAGGAATGGGGGAGAGGTAGGACGGAAGGAAGAGGAGAGAATAGGAGGAAGGAGGGTGAGAGAGGGGGAGGAGGTAGGAAAAGAAGGAAGAGGAGAGAATAGGAGGGTGATGAGAGGGAGAGGGGAGGAGGTAGGAGAAGGAAGAGGAGAGGGGGGAGGGGAGGAGGTAGGAAGAACGAAGAGGAGAGGGGGAGGGGGAGGAGGTAGGGAAGGGAAAGAGGAGAGAATAAGAGGAAGAGGAGAGGAGAGAGGGGGAGGAGGTAGGAGAGGAAGAGGAGAGAATAGGGGGAAGAGGAAGAGGAAGAGAATAAGGAGGAGAGGAAGAGGAGACAATAGGAGGAAGAAGAAGGAGACAATAGGAGGAAGGAGGGTGAGGAAATGGGAGGTTGGGAGGAAGGAAGATTAGAGGGGAAGGGGAAGAGGAGGGAAGGAGGGAGGTAGATGATGGAAGTGGGAAGTAGGAGGTAGGAAGAAGAAGAGGGAGAATGGAGGAAGGAGGGTGAGGAAAATGGGGGGGGGAGGAGAAGGAAGAGGAGAGGGGAAGGGGAAGGAAGAAAGGGAAAGGGGAGAGTTAGGAGGAAGGAAGAGGGAAGGGGAGAGAACTATGATAGGACGAAGGAGGTGGGAAAGGTAAGGAAAGGAAGGAAAAGAAATAGGATAAGATGAGGAAGCTAGAGAAAGAGAGGAAAAGGTAAAGGAAAGGAGAAGAGAGGGGAGGGGGAGAGAAGGGAAGGAAGAAGGAAGGAGGAAGGGAGAGAAGAGGAGAAAAGGGAAGAGAGAATGACTAATAGAAGGGAATAGAAGAGGGAAAAGGGAACTGAAAAAGAGGGAGAAGAGGGGGGGGGGCGCTTCATATTCCCATAAAATTCCGTGTCTGTTTGTTTATGAATATTAGGACTCTGGCAATTTGCCCGTTCGCCCCATGCCTTCATGTGGGATATGTACGCGTACACACACGCACACACCACACACACGCACACACACACACACACACACGCACGCACACACAGCACACGCACACACACACATTCCAACCAACCATTATAAAAAAAAAGAAAAAAAGAAAAGAAACACTAACACCGACTGTTATTATGATCATAATTTTCA